TTGTCCGTAATTAAGGAGTATTTAGCCGCCTCCGGAGCCGTCTCCGTTTCCGTGAATTACCGAGATTTCGGCGGTTAAAAGTCCCCGCCGGGCGGGTACCGGCTGCTGCCGCCCCGCGCTGCCCGCCGCGCCCGGCAGGTGGCGCTAGAGAACAGCCAACGGCGGCGACGGGGCCGGGCAGGGCGCGGGGAGCCCGGGGCTCCGCGGGGGGAGCGCTCCCCTTCCCCGGGCTGCAGAGGGGCCCAGGCGGGCGTTTGCCCTCCTCACTCCGCATTGAAGGCACATTTGGGTTACTTTTTATTATTTACAGTGAGCAAAATGGGCCGAATGCTGTGAGATGGAGACCCAGCCCGTTTTCACAGATGTGGTGTGTTCGGGATTGAATTAAAATATTGATCAAGCTACGTGATGGTAAATCACTATTAAATCATTCTCAAGCACATTACAAACAAATCGATACAATCTCTGAGGACCTTAATGTGAGCAAGAAAATGGAGTACTTCTCTGAAAGACCCAAATAAAATGATCCATTGTGAATAATGCCGAGTTTATAGAGCGATAAGATAAACTAATCTCATGCTTTGCTAAATTGGGGCTTGACAGGACAATCCAGGAAAGTAGCCTTTGGCGGTAGCTTACACTCTGGGCAAGATGTTAACTGTCAAGTACTGGGATCAAGCCTCAGGCATCTGAATTAGCTGTAAAAGTCTTCAGACCTAGCTAAAAAAAAAAACAAAAACATCTCCAAGAGAAGCATAAAGGGTAAATGGACAATATTGTCAAAAGGACCTTAAACTTTTTACAGCACAAAGCTGACAGAATTTATATCTGCAAATGCATTTATGCTGTACTTAGAATCAAGGTTTTTATAGATTTGGAGAAGTGAGTCAATACTCTTCAAAAGTCCATTTTTAAAGGAGAATATATGGAGGAGGAATCAATTTAAATATGATAATTGTATAGCTTGGAGCACTGACAGCATTGAAGCTATTGGAGAATAGTCCCCTGTAATCTCTCAAGTAGTGTTTTTGCCTTTCAGACTGTGCCTTTAATGTTCTGTTACATTTGTCTTGAGCAGACAGTACAATTTTGTCAACTGATTGCCTGATAGGGTTTTCTATTAGTTCTGCAGATCTATGAGTTGGGTAAGAGCTAATAGGCCACACTCAGGTGAGGTTCATGAGGAAGTGCTTTTCATGAGGAGCACCTTACACTTGCGAAAACCTTTGAAGCTCTGGGAAGTAAATTTATGTTTTAAATGGTCTGCTGGAAGGTGCTGATTGACAGCCCTGGAGACAGAAAATCTCGAGGTGTCCACTCAGCACTTAGAGCCTCTGTTCCCTGCACCCTGCCTGATCATCCCCCTGGGTTGATTAGGTCACTTCTTGGGTCCACAGCTGCTAATTCAGCTGTGTAGTCTAGACCATGGTTGAGACAGACTGGGAGGTTGTGTGGTGTGGTACTGATGTTAGGCAAGAATGTATGCATGAATGACTTACATTTCTATGTGGAGCTGGTTGTGGCTTCATTCTGCCACGTGTACAATTTCTGAGGTTCACGATGACCTTGGTCCACAGGTGTGTATGGTGCTCTCGGCACAGGGTATCACTGGAGCTCAGCAGCTCTGCAGTGTTACCTCCAATGAGTACCTTTAAGTTCTACCTTGATTTCTCTGCTTAATAGAGATGTGCTTCCACATTACCTAATCTGGATATCTCTTTGTAGCACATTGTAATTTTTACAAGAAACTTATCTTTGGACTTCTTTAATGATAAAGTAAAACCTCTCTAGAGCCTCATTCCCTCAACTTCCAGAGTTGGAAACTCACACAAGCTTATGTTGAAAAGGAATTGATTATTCAAAGCTCTTGTGCTTCATAATCTACTTAAAACATGTAGATTGACTGTCTCATCAGAAAAGCTCTACATTTTACTTTGCTGTATAGTCCATTGGGTCATGTGCTTAAGGCCAGGAGACCTCTGGCATTACTTCCAGGCTGTGTGCCCCCCTCCAATTACAGGTTATTAATTTGCCTTACATTCAAGAGACAGTTCCACATGAGTGAAAAGGAATACCATACTGCGGAGTTCTTCATTACCTACTCTGTCTGTACCACAGCAAAATAAGAACAATACTGTTTTCTTTCTTCCTTTTTTCTTCTTTATTTTTTTTTCTTCCCCCTGGTCTGTGGAAGATGTTTTACAGTTTTAATGCAGCTGTTTTAAGTGTGACTATTCCTGTTCAAGGGCAGCTGATGTACTTTGTAATGCCACTGAACAGCCAACAAGCTACGTTCCCCTATTGTGTTGAAGTGATAGGTACGTTTGCTAATCAAGAGGAGAGCAGAGCTCGCTGTCTGACTTGTTTATGTTTTATTTCTCACCATCAAGCTTTAGAGGGAGGCACAGAAAATATGTAAGCATCTATATTATTTAGTGATGTATATATGTACATGAGTGTACGAGCAATCTAAAGTGTATTGCTGATATCTTCTAGTTAGAGCTGAAATTAGCAGGTGTCAGGGTTACCACATATCCCCAGTATTATTCGAGATTCCCCAAACCTGACATGCCATCAGATAAACTGTTAATTAATTGTCACTGCATCTTGCTAGATTATTCTTTTCCTCTTGTGATTGCTTGAGTTTTTGTAAAAAATAGTGACCAAAGTAGAGGATTTTGATCATCAGGATTCACAGAAGACCTATGGGGAGTGATCAGATCGAGGAGACGCTGCCTGGTTCCATCACAATTGCTTTTTAATTGTCTTTTAGGCTGTAGTGTTTCTCCTTCCCATATATAGTGTGGAAGCAATTTGGCCCCTGGAACTGGAGAATCTCCTACAATCTGCTGGCAGCTCAACAGCGTAGTTATACCCACTTATTTCTCTGTGCCATTCCCAGGGCTTTCAGCCTCTGCCCTGATTCTCTGTTCATCTCGCAGGGATGCCAGCTCCAGCAGAATCCTACCTTCATGCAGTTTTACTCTTGGGTTTGTAGGTTTCTTTCAAATCCCTTGCAAAACTGTTGTTAAGCATTCTGAAATTCAGTATCTTTGCAAATCCATGTTAATTATTCCAGTAGGAATCGTGATAAAATAACATGCATCAAGACAGAAAGTTTAGGGCTGCAGCCAGCAATTCAGGAGTACCAGGAAAATTGCACTGGTCTTTGTATGGAGTATGTTTTGGAGAAAGAGAAGGTGGGAATTTTTTCTTTTCCTACTAGGATGTGTTGGGTTTGTATTAATTCTTGTAACCTGGAGGATAGGGAGAGCTGCCCTGCAAAGAGCACTGAAGTTCTTCTGTTACCCCCTCTTTGCCTGCCTGCAGCTCAAGTCTTAGCTAAGTATCATCTGTCTAATAACATTTCTGCCTGCTGCTGCACTGTTGTATAGTTAATTTTAGGAATCCCATTTTTAACAGAATGCCTAGTTTTGCATTGTCATTTTGCTCTCTGTCAAGTGTCTGGTTTTATTCCATTCCTTTTTGCTTTTACCAGATAGAGAATATTACTTTCCTTAACTTATTTGATAATGTGATGTGGGTATCCTCAATTAATACACTAATCTGTTTTCTAATTAATTCCCTGTGGTTTTCCTCCCTTTTTGCTGGTACATTGAATCCTGAGTGCAATTCTGTAAACTCAGTAATTTGATTGTTTAAAGGAGAAATAATACATTTCATTATAGAGGTGAAAGTCTCTAGGAAATGTTACATTTCAGGAAGCAAATGGACTCTATTATTGCAGTTTAAAACGTGCTTGTACCCAGGGTATAAACATGCCCTGATAATAATATACTCTACTAAAATACAGGCACATTCCTGTCAGCTACTCCTAAAGCGAATCCCATTGTTAGAAACCTGATGCATACGCTCTCCTACGAGCACTTGTTGTATTTTTATCTGCAGATACATTGGCAAGGTGGGTATCAAAACATCGACGTTCCATGATGTGGATTTATGGAGCATTTTTGTTGCTCGTTTCCAGTAGAGGCAACAGTGCATTAGGCACAGTGCACAAATGAAAAGAAGGGACTCTTTGCTTCTTGAAAATTGTTTTGGCTGCTTCTTTGGGAGGTAGCTTGAGGTGGTTTTGCTGACCTTGTTTTGTGGTTATTTGACGCTACACCCAACACATTACAAGAGTCCTTGGAAAATTTGTAGTCACTCTTGTTGAACCCAATCATTTAATTCTGCTGTAAAAAAATAAATTACAAAATATATAAGTTTAAGTATCTTGATTGAAATATTTTACTTTGTGAAAGCTATAGTGAAATATGCAGGATACCTCCTTACCACTGTGTCCCAGTAAATAGAATTTAAAAATCTGCATAGTAATTGTAATCCCAGTCGGTATCTTGCTGATGTTCTCTCTTGCCCTAAAGAAAAATAACAATAAAGAGAACTTTTATCTCTAAAATTAGGGAGTCATCAATGCAGTAATTACAGTAGCTGAAATACCTTTTGGAAATTTATTTTCAGTTATAAAAGCTTCAAGCCTTTGGGCAAATTGGAGAAATATCACATTGAGCCTGCTGTGGCAGAACCATGACTACTTGCTAAGTTCAATTCAGAATGCTACAGAAATTTCTTTCCAGTTTTAGGATTCCTTTAACACAACTCAGGTCATTATTTTTGCATTTTGATAAGGTTGTGTCACACACTTCGTTGTGACATCAGCCCAATATGGCTGAGAGAAAAAGTACATTGCAAAATTATGTAGGCATCAGTTTTTACCAAATACTTTACTTTAGTCTTACAGTTCCTTATGAGTTTGAGGGCTCTGTGACAGCACAGTAAATATGCAAAAGTCAACAATGGCTCCTCTCTCCAAAACCTATCAATCATAAACAGGAATAACTCTTTGTGTTTTAGTTCCTGTAGCAGTCTAACCAGCAAAAGTAGTGTGTATCCTCCTTAATTGCAGACTCAGCATACAAAATAAATGTCATCTTTTTAATCCTTTCCAGTCCCAGACAACCTTGTTATGAAGATCCTGGCAGAGCGTCTAAATGCACTCGACTGCATGACCAATGGTTGGGTGCTTTATGGCTTCCCAAGAGACATAGAGCAGGGAGAACTGCTGCAAAAAGCGCATCTTATTCCAAACAGGTAAGATACAACTTTAGCAATCACGACATCACATATAGGAAAAATTTGTTTATGGAAAGATACAGATCTTTATTGACATTGTACAGGCTGTTGCATCTTATTTATTTACTCCATTCTTAGCTAGAAAAGGGGTCTTGCTCCTGGAGAGTAGGAAATAGAGCACTGGCCTTACAAATCCTCCAGATGGCCAAACTGTGTGAGAGAGAAGAGGTTTCTTCTTCTCGTTATTTGTTTGAGTTGTTTTGTTTGCCCTAAAAGCAAACCATAAGAAATGGATTAAAGTTTGGATTATAGCAGAAGGTGTATTTTATTTGCAGCAGGAGGGGGGAATCTACATCTTCTTTCTTTAGCATTGGCATAGTATAATGAAAATATATTAGTATTGCAAGGAGCTCATTATGAGACTGTTGGGTTTTGTAAAATAATTAAAAAACAACAGGAGAATTATATTTTGTTTGAGTTTAATGAAGTTTTCAGAAATGTAATATAAGAGAAATGAGCATCAAACGAGAACATCCAGGCAAATAAAATAGGTTTGCTCTTTACAACTGGTCCAAAGGTGGTGGGGATTTGAAATGCTACTCTACTTAGCAAAGCTGAGAGGCTTTTCCATTGCTCTCCCAGAGGTTCTTTGTTCAGTCCATGCCATTGGCTGGCACCGTGGCCACTCCAAAGACATACTTTGAAATCTGTAGTCTTCACACTTCCAGGAAACTTTATCTAAAAAACTAGTAACAGAAAAGGTTTATTACCCACATAAATGTTGAAGTTGGCGAAGTTACTCTTCCTGTGTCCTCTGTGTCTGCCCTCAGTTCCCACCCCTGCCCCATACAAGGTGCCGTGGAAAGATGTAAGAGGGTAAGATGGAGAAAAAGAGGAGAGTGAAAAGGGAGGGAGCTCGCAGTCATGCCATCAGGGTTTAAAAACGAAAGCATGTGAAAACAGCAGTAGCTTTAATTAAAAGTAAGACAAAATACATTTGAAATAGGAATCCATTTAATGAAAAAAGGGAAAAACAATTATGCAAGATTCAGTTAAATAACATATCCCATATTCTTCATGTGCATTTAGGAGGTAGGTCCTCAGACCCTAAACATGGATCTGAGTACCTGAGATCAGCGTGAACATTCAGGTGTGTGCCGTGTGCTCCTTCACAGGATCGAGGCCTCATCAAATGAGGAAGAACAACTCATTGTAAAATTATATGTGTGGAAATTTGGCACTCGTCCATTTGCTCCGCTTCCATTTTCTCTGAGCTCTACACATTCACATCTGAGTTAAGAATTTGGCCACTGCTATTTTATACAGGGGTTGAAGTAAGGGACAAAAATAGACATCATGCTACCTGATTGATTTTGGAGCTGATATTTTCCATAAAACTGAAGTAGTAGGTATGTAAGGGAGAGAGGGTGATTATAAACAAAAGGACATATTGCAGCATGGGATAGCAGGGCAGTAATTCAGTTTCCGTTGTGATGCTAGTTATAAAACACTATCTGCAGAGGTGGTGTTTCTGACATCAGGAGAAAAACCTGATAGAATTATAGCCTTGAAATCAATCTGGGAATAGGATGCAGAAATCTATAAATCAGACACAGAACAATCTACAAAGTCTCATTTTTAGGAGGGTTCTGTTGATGAAATTAGATTAAAATAAATTTACATATATATCAAGTTTATTATTAAAATCTAGTCACATCAGTAAACAAAATTATTTGTGAAAGAGTATGTTACTCTGTGTTTCGAACTCAAAGTAGACCTCTTTGGCTGATCAGAACACAGAGTTATTGTCTGCTTGTCAAGTCATAAATCTGTTTCTTAGAGCTAATAAATGGTTAGTGTTCAAATACTATGTTTTATCTGACTCCCACCTCATAAAGCCAGTACACATAATACTAAATTATACAGCATTGAGCAGGATCAGTCTCCTGACTCCTCCATCTTACGGAAAGAAAAACAAACCTAGTAATTGATGGTAGAAAAGAAGGAAAATAAAGTTATTTGAAAACAAACAAAATGGGCTATAAAGTTTGTTAAAATGTAATAATAAAAAAAACTTGTACAGCATCAGCCACTGCATCCAAAGATCTGCCCTGGAACAAGAAGCAGGGTACAGAGTTTTCTTTGAATTAAAATTTGCAGTAGAGCAAAGGCTTGCTTACAGACTGGCACAGGAAAACCTGCCTGTATCAGACTAAACTTGTCTACCAAAGAACTGCTCTTTCTGTACTCGGAGAAGACATGTATTGCTTTCTGTGTTCCTCCCTGTGAAGCAGTTACTGCTTAAGTGGACAGGATCCTAATCGTATTGAACTGTGGCAGCCTTTAGGGCAAATAAGAGCTGAATCTATTAGTGGTCTCTCAGAACACTAGTAAAAGAACGCCATTAACCACTGAGTGCCTACGGTAAGTAGGAATCCAAATACAATTACAGGTTGTCATCTGAAACTCAGAACTACTAATGCAAAGGACTGAATTCAGTTCCTTATCCAAATGAATATAATTGGTATTTTAGCTTTTTTCATTGTTAATACTTGAGCAAAAATAGGAAATACATAGCATAGTCATGGATAGTTCTAATATGCAGATAGCTCTATTTAATATCTAACAAAATCTTCCTTATCCCCTTCTGCTCTCCCCCAAACTTACAGTTAAAATAAGATTGAGCAGCAAGAGTGTCATCTGTTGTATATCTCTTGTCATTAGCTTCAACTGGTTCATGACCAGCTGTCTGCTGGTTCTGGGCCAGCTTAAGGCAATAGGCAGTTTAGGGATTCCCTGAGCCAAAGGGTCAGCTGGACAACTGTTTAATAGCCCATTTTCCCTGACTTACAGTAACAGTCTGTACTCCTGGCCTCCACCAAATCTATGGAAATGAGTTTCACTTTTTCACTGGGTGTTTTGTGATAATACTTCACAGTGTTTTTTCTAAGTTCCTTCTATTGAAACACAGTTATATGTATTCCCTGTTCATGTTCTCCGGACACTCCTGATTTTATAAGCCTCTTGTTATATACCTGTACAGTCCCCTCTTTCCCAGACAAAGAACCTGGTTGTCCTTTCCTTTCCAGAACCCATTTTTCTCACCATCCTGCCTTCCTGTTCTTTACTTTCTCTAGTTATTCCAGCTCTTTCTTTGCTGAGATGGGACAACCAGAACTGCATTTGGTTTTGAGGGTAACACTGTGTACTGAATGTGTGTGTGTG